GCCAGTGCGTCGAAGGCCCCGGCCTCGGGGACCGACCCAGAGTTGCGGGAGCGCTTGCAGCAGGCCTTCGGTAGGGCTGAAGGCAATCAATCCCCCCACCCAGTCGCAGCGGGAGGGGTCGGTCCGAGGACAGGTGAGGGGTAGTCATGTTCAAACGAGTTTGGCCGCACCGATCTCCCCTTGGGCACGTTCGGGACTCAGGATTCGACCACCTCTCCCCCCTCGTCAGGGGGGGTGTTGTAAGGCTGGTTCGCTCGAGGGTCCTGCAAGGGGGAGGGGCTGCGTTAAGATGTTACAGGCTGAGTCGGGTCCAGAGACCCCGGGCCCAGGTCCCATACCAGGAAAGAGAAGGTCGAGCTCGAGATGCGCACTGCCAATTGCAGCAGTTGGGGGTCGCTTCACGACTGGTCGCCTTCGGCGAATTCTGCTCATATCAGTTTGGCTGAGGGGCACCACCTTGTTGATCCTGACGAGCTCGGAGCTCGATAGGGCGTCCAGATCGTGCTGGGGACAGGGATGGAAGGCTCTTTGGGAACCGGCACTGCGGACATCAGGAGAAGGCTCTTCAGGAGGAGTCGTCACCCTGGCGAGACATCTCATCGACCTGCCCCCCCTCATCCGATTGTGGCAGAGAGAGTACTAGGATGTGAAGCCCACCTGCCAGGTGGAGCACCATGTCTTCTCTGTTCTCCAGCTACTGCTTCGACACGGAGGGGATGACGCTCAAGCAGCTGGAGCTGTGCCGATATGTAGGAGCGTGCTTGACCGTGGGAGGCTTGCTGTTTATCGATGGGGCTGGCGTTTACCTGGAGCTTCCGGTTGTTGGAAACTGGGGGTTCTTGGAACGACGCCATGGCGAGATCGTGTGCACTGGTGCCCACAGTACTTCGGCAGCACGAAGTCGTAGCTGGAATATGTTCTCGTCTCCAGCGGGCTGGCGCGAGGGGTACAGAGCATCAGGATGTGCAGCGAGAGCGAGTTATCGCCCCACCCCGTCGTGGCCATAGATGTCCACCCTGCCCTATGCCCCTTCAGGCTCTGGGTTACGGACGTCCTCCCAGGAGTGTTCCCACCTCCCAGGAGTGCCCCCACCTCCTGGAGAGTCCTGCCAAGCTGATAAGTTCTTGGAGCTCGGCGAGAAAGCCTCGAGATCAAGAGATGCCAACGAACTTTCCAGGCTCACAGCAGGGCCTACCAGAGAAAACTTTCCAGGCTTTCCAGTAGGCCTAACTTTCGGAGCAGGAACTCCCCTCCAGGATGGGGGGAGAGCTCCCCTACAAAGCACTGAGGGGCAGGGACCCCCCCAAAAAATAGCATGACGAAAGACCCAACCATACGTAGTTGTGAATACCGCAATTGTGGATATATTCCTCGGTGGCGTTCCCTATGGGGCCACGAACCGCATGAAGGGCGTGCCGAAATGTGTGGCGGGGGCACACAACGCGAAGGAAAATCATATTTCTGATTACGAGAGACTGAACGCGGATGAGTCTGAGCGCGAGTGCGTCTGTTTGTGAATGGGATTGCGTGCGAGCGAGTCTATGTTCATGAATGGGAGCATGACCAAGCTCAGTGTAATTTTATATGAATGTGAACGGTTTGAGCATAACTGGTTCTGAGTACTTGTGAAATTGACTGTGGCCGCCGCGAGGAGCCCCCCCCCAGAAATGCCAATGGCAGCGCCCGCACGCCGCGACGCCCGTGTCGGCGCGCCCCTCACGAGGATAGCGCCCGCTTTTCTTATGTTCCTTTCTCTTTGCCCGCGCACTCCAAAGTCCTAGGCTGCGGGCGCAGCGCAGCGCGGAGTCCCCGCGGCGCGCGCAGGTCGCCGCGGAGGGGTCCCAGCGACGCGCGCGGGTCGTCCGCTGCGCGGAGCACAGAGAGCTAGCCGGCTGGCTGATTGCGGGCAAGGCTCCGGCCGCTGGGCAGAGCGACGACGGGCGACCGAGGCGCTGGGCAGAGCGCCGCACGGAATCCCCGCCGCGCGCCGGTCGCCCCGGAAGGGCCCCAGCGACGCGCGCGGGTCGCCCGCAGCGCGAAGCCAGACAAGTAGTTGGACAGTCGAGAGAAGGCGCGGCTCGGGGGGGACGCTCCTCAGGTCAGGCCTCGCGGATAAATTCGGTGAAGCCGAGCTCCCTGGCGAGGGCCGTCGCCTCCCTCCTGCACCGCTTCGCGCGCGCCGCAAACTGCTCCAGCTGCTTCCGTAAGCCCTCCGGCGGCCCTGCCAGGAAGAACTCGATGCGCGGCGCCCGCATGAGCAGGAGGTCCTCGTGGCGCGTGGCGCGCGAGAGCAGCGCATAGAGCTCCAGCCACCAGTCGTCGTCCTCCTTCTTGCCGTTCCCGACCTCGTGGCGGCCGCAGTCCAGGATCACGCCTGGGCGACGTCGGCCGAGGGAGCAGTGCGCCCGGCAGCCGACGGCCCAGGGCGAGAGTCCGCAGGACCGAGGTCTGGCCGCGGACTGCTCGCGCCCCGGAGGTCTGGCCGTCCCCGGAGCGCCGTTCCCCCGCCCCGTCGCCTTCTCGCATGGTGCGCCCCTGGCACGCCACCGTGGTGATGACCCTGCCGTGCGAGAACGGGAAGCCCGTCCGGGTGACCTTGGAGGCGCGGAAGGTGAACGGCTCCGACGTGCGGGGCTCGATGAACACCAGCGGGCCCGCGAGGTCCCCCGTGAGGCTGTCGTCGTGGCGCTGCAGGTCGTCCACGAAGGGCGCGCTCGCGTTCTTATCCATGCGCACCCAGAACCCCAGCGGCAAGCGCCTCAGGTAGATATTATTCTTCCCGTCTCTCTCTCTCTCTCTCTCTCTCTCTCTCTCTCTCTCTCTCTCTCTCTCTCTCTCTGCTCTCTCGACGCCGTCCCGATCCCGAGGGTCCACGACGATGTGCACGATCTGCCCCTCGGCGTCCTTGACGAGGCCGTTCTTGAGGTCGAGCGCCTCCAGGAGCCGGATCCGCATGCCCACGTGCACCGGGAGCAGTCCGTGCATGCCACCGGTATTCTTCGGGCTGGCACAGTTCATCGTCTTGGCGGCGTCCTTGACGTTCATCGTCGGGGCAGACCTGTCGGCCGCCTGCACGAGGAAGAGGGGCTTCTTCAGGACGTCCGCGTCCCGCTGGGCTCGCATGTTCATCCGCCGCGCCACTGTGTCCCAGTAGGACCCGATCATTTGGCCGTTCTGGAACCTCTCCTCCCGGAGCCGGCGATCATCGGGCTTCAGCTGCATGGCGTTCCACGTGACCCGGATGGCCGGAGGGACCTGCTTCCCCGGTTTGCGCAGGAACGCCATGAGATCTCGGAGCTTGGTGTCCTTGAAGCGGTTGGACGCCTGGAGCTCGAAGCACAGCGGCGTGTTGCAGAAGAGCTTCATCACTGCCTGGTACTCTGGAGCGAGGTTGATGCCCGCCGCCGCCAGTTTCTCGAAGCTGGAGATGAGCGACACCTTGCCTCCCGTCGGCTTCAGCTGCAGGAAGTCCCCCAGGTGGATCACGATGGGCATCCGGCCGAAGGCGCCGCCGACCTGGTCGTACTCCCGCTCCTCCGCGCCCTACTCGGCCTTGCGTCCCAGGTAGGATCGGAACGCCAGCATGTTGTACAGGTTGGGCGAGATCATGCTCACCTCCTCCAGGATAAAGCACCTGACCGCCTCCCACGTGTCCTGCAGCGCTTTCAGCTTGCCCCCCGCGGGTATGTCCTTGTTCCTGAAGGACTGCACTCCTATGACCCCCGCCTGGTGGCAACTGACGGCCTTGTGAGCGTCCGTGGAAATGTTCGCGGCCTGGGACCACTTCGCGCAGACTATCAGCGTGGACGAGTTCGCCTTGCCTGGTTCCACAGGGAACAGCGCGTCCATGGCTGGCAGCACGATATCCTGCACCATGGCGGTCTTGCCGCTGCCGCCCTGGCCCAGGAGCAGGAACTGGAACGATTTCCGCTTCGCGTCCTTGGCCATGCTGCCGTCCACGATATTCTGCTCCTCGTCCCACACCACGTTGCAGGCGTTCGCGAACGCCGTGACGAACAGGGCATGGTCGGGCTTCAGAGGGCGGCGTTCCTGCTTCCCCGTGCTCGGGTTGACCACGCCGTCCTCGAACTTTTTGACGAGGCGCTTGACGAGGTCGCTGGGCCGCTGCAACTCCTCCGACGGCTCCCACCGCGCCTGCGCCGCCTCGGCCGGCATCGCGCCAGCGCCCGCTGCCCCGACGTCGTCCGGCGCGGGGGCGTCGTCCGCGGGCACGTCCGCGTCCTTCGTGCCCCCCTTGGCGAACCTCTTTCGCTGGGTCTCCACCAGGTTCTTCAGCTCGTCGTCTGCGTCGAGGTCGCGCAAGACCCTGAACGGAGCGAGGACGTCTTCCTTCAGGGCGCGGGCAGCGCGCCGCGGCGCGTCGGCGTCAGTCGGCCCGGGCAGCGCGCCGTTCTCCATCATCGTGGCGGCCTTCTTGAGCTCCTTCACGAAGGCCTGCGTGCGCTCGGCGGTGTCGAAGCGCAAGATCTGCCCGAGCGTCTCGGGGTCGAAGTGATGCTCCAGGACGACGTTGGCGCCCAGCTTCGCGAAGCCGTCCTGGGCGCGGATGCCCTGGGCCTCCACCTGCGCTGCGCCCGCCCCCGAATCCTCGGCGCCCTCCCGGAACACGGGGGCCTCCGCGACCTGCACGTCGTCTTTCTGCGGTCTCTTCGGCTTCGAAGCCTTCGCCTTGGAGATGCCGTCGAAGTTGGCTGCGGTCTTCGTGGTCTCTAGGGCCAGGTACTCGCATGCTGTCCAGCCAGTTGCCCAACTCCGCGCACTGGGCGCACTGGCACGGAGGCTGCACGTCCTCGCGGCGGCCGCTGCGCTTCTCGCGCAGTGCGGACTCGACCTCCCCCGTGTTCCAGATGCTGGGCGTCGCCCACGACCCGACGTCATTCCTGAGGCACTTCGCCTGGGGGCGGCTTCGCCAAATGCTCCTGGGCGGTGGCGAACGACTCCCAGCCGCGCTGGAACGGGCCCGCCACGCCCTCCCCCGCCGGCTGCGCCGGCCACTCCGGCTCGCCCTCCGGCGCCGCGCACATGTGCTCGTACGCGCGGAGGTAGCGCAGCTCCTTCGTGTCGTTGGGGCCGTCGGCGTCCGGCAGGTGCACTGGCCGGAGCAGCACCGACTTCATGAGGGAGTGCGTCTCCACGCTCGACTCCGCGCTCACGAACTGGAAGCCGTCGGCCTTCGGGATGCGCGGCTCGACGGCCAGCCTCTGCGTCCAGTTCCGCGCCGCCGAGTAGGACGAGTCGAAGGCGATGTCGACGTGCAGGGTGCGACCCCCGCTGCCCTCGGGATCCAGCTCCCCGGCCGAAAGGGCATGCAGCGGCAGTTCCACGCGGTGCACCCAGATGCTGTAGACGTACAAGCTCATGTCTCGGACAATAGGGTGGTCTCCGCGGCGCATCCAGTCGTCGCGCTGGCTCAGCACTGCGCCCCTGAACTTGCCCTGCGCGAGGCCCTCGACAGTCGGCCCCAGTGTCTCGGGCGCCTCTTCGGCCTCGCCTTCCCGCAACTTGTTCAGCGCCTTCGCCACGTCGCGCAGCGAGCTGCCGCTGGCGCTCGCGATCTGGAACGCCTGGTGCGCGTACTCGATCGTGTCGAACTCCTCGCCGTCGGGGCTGACGTACACCGGCTCGCCCTCGCGCTGCGCCTCGCGCCACCCTGGCATCGCGACCTGCTGTCCAGTGCCAGGGACCGCGAACGTGATCGAGGCGGCGGGTGCGCTTTCCGCGGCGTCGGCCTGGCCATACCGCCTGCGCCAGGACTCCTCGGCGAGGTAAATGGGTTTCCGCATGAACACCTTCCAGCAACGGTGCGTCATGAAGGAGAGGTGCCCGAAGAGCATGGGGAAGACCATCTCGCTGCCGCTCTTCCAGGAGGCCCTGCGGAAGCAGGTTTCGAAGCGGGCCAGCACCTGCAGCGTGCGCTTGAAATCTTCCTTGCGCTTTCCTGCGGCGGTCGACTGGGCCTCGTCGCTGGCGCCGCCCGCGGCCTGCGCCTCCCTGTCGTCCCACTGGCTCTTCAGGCGGCGCACGCCGTCGAGGAGCTTGCAGAGCACGTCGTCCATGCTGGGGTTCACCTTCGTGGTGTACGAGTTCACGTAGTAGCTCGTGTTGTGGGCGTCCACGAAGGTGGCCAGCGCGTGCCGCTCCAGGTCGCGTTGGAGATCGGCGCGCGCAGCGTCGCCACCGTCCACGGCGGGGCTGTCGCGGTTCGCGAGCTCCCCGACGAGGTCCCACTTCTCCGCGGACGTGGTGTTCAGATGCTGGAACCATCCCCAGTCCTCCCAGGCGCCCACCGAGAAGTCGGCGTAGCGCTGAGGGTAGAGGCCATGGTTGTAGCTCTTGCGGTCCTCCTCGTTCGCCGGCGGTTCCAGCTCCGACGCATCCATCCACAGACGCGGGGGCAGCGCCCGCCTCATGTCCTGCACGTCCACGTTGCACCGCGCCGAGACGACCGCCGCGCACTTCGTCGAGGCCTCACCGGGGTGGAGCTGGAAGGCGACGATGCGCCCGGCCATGCCGTAGTCCGTCTCCCGGAAGATGCCGATGCAGCCGCGCAGAGCCTTCCCGCGCGCGCGGAGCCGGCACTCTTGTGAGTCCCCCCCCTCGGGCCACGTGCACAGCGTCACCAGGTTGTAGAAGTTGTGGCGGCAGATCTGCGAGCCACGCGTCTTGTCGGAATGGTACTTGTAGCAGGAGGGGCTGCAGACGTGGATGGCCGCAGCCGATGACGAGCTCGCGCGCGTCGCGGCACATCTCGCGAATCCACTCGTCGCTCGGGAGAGACTCCGCCAGGGTGCCCCCGCCGCGGTACCTCAGGAAGATGCCGGAGGCGCTGCTGGAGAGCGGCCGCCGCCAGTACCCCTTGTTATCCGCGGCCCGCTGCTCTGTCCACGCCGCATCGCCGTCTACGGCCTCGCCGCCGTTGTTGCGCAGCGGTAGATCGGCGCGAACCGCCCTGTGGTAGCCGTCTGCCCTGGGATCGTAGAACCACAGCGCCTCCTCCGTTTCGCCTTCCCTACCGAGCTGCTCTGCCGTCGCCATCTCCGCGCCCCCGTCGGCCCTGAAGTACCGCTTCTCGTTGGGCCCGAACGGCAGCGGCGGCGCCGCGACCCCGCACTTGTCCTCGCCCCCCTGCAGCTGCAGGGGCAGCAGCTCCACGGCGCCCTGCTGGGTGGCGACCACGGCCTGCACCACCTGCCGCATCCACAGGTTCAGGCGCTCCTGAAAGCGCGCCTCGTCGCGCTGCAGCATGTCCAAGAGCACGCGCAGCTGACCCTGCAGCAGCCAGATGAGGATGTGCGGGCGCAGCGAGCCGCGGCCTGAGCCTCGACCGGACCGAAGGCCGCCGCCAGGGGGCCGAACACCGTGGGCACGGCCATGAGGTCGGCCGCCACGCCGTCGGAGATCCAGTGTTCCGAAGCCTTTCGAACTTCTCCTCGCCGCCACCCGACGGTGTCCTGGCGCAGGCCGAGGACGTGGACGAAGAACAGCCTCATCATCAGCTCGAACACTACGGCCTGGCCCACGGGGTCCGCGGCGATGCGCCGCGACATCTCGCTGAACGTTACTTGCTCCGCCTCGGTCAGGTCGTTGCCGAAGGAGTACTCCTCCCCCTGCACGATGAGGATCAGGGGCTGCTTGGTGTCTGCCAGATTCGGGGTGGCGAACTGGACGGGTGGGCCGAAGCGCAAGGTATATGCCTCGCCCTCTCCACGCAGCTCCCGCCTGTGTCCGTCGGACCCGACTTGGCTGGCGGTGGCCTGGCCAAGGGTGGCGAAGGCCTTGCGCACCTCGTTCGGGGTGTCCTTGTCCTCGAGGATGCCGTGCAGCGTGGCCTTCAGGCCCGTCTGCTGCGCCCTGAGCTGCACCTCCTCGATCATCTCCGGCGCGATGTCCGCGCAGACGCGAGCGGCCCCGAACGCCCCCGGCGTCTTCAGGAAGGCGCAGGTGCTGGCGGTCGTCTCCGTGACTCTCCAGAAGGAACACAGCAGGTGCACATCGTACCAGGAGCTCCGGAAACGACTGATGGGCCTGGCCACGCACTTCTCCTCGTCGCCAGGCACGTCGTACTCCATCTCCTCCCGCGTGAGAAGATTATTGATGAAGTGCGCCACGCTGAAGCAGAGCCGACCCTCCTTCTGCTTCTGCGGATCCTCGTCTCCGTCCGGGGGGAGCTGGCCGAGGCCCCAGGCGCAGTCCCCGTAGCAGAAGTCCGTGGGCCTGGCAACGGACCAGTACTTCGTATTCCACCAGCTCTCCGCCTTCCTCGAAGTGGGCACCCGAAGCCTCGCCTTCCGCTGGCCGTCGGGGCCAGGCGGTCCCTGCAAGGAGCGCGGGTCGTCCTCGGCGGGAGTCCCCGCGACTCCTGCAGGTCGCGCCAGGTCGCCCGCGCCCCCCTCCGCCTGGCAATTGTTCGTCTCCAGCGCCTGGACGCGCCAGCGCAGCTTCGCCGTGTCCTCCCCGGGGGAGATCTTCCGACAGCGCGCGCGGAACTCCTGGCAGAGGTCCCGCAGGCGGTGACGCCCGATCTCGTCCAGCGGCAGCGCCCTATCCTCGCCCCCCTGTTCCTCGAGCCTGGACATCAGCTCGTTGGCCACCGCGCGCCCCGCCTGACTCTCCATCCTCTCGAGCATGCCCTGGAGCGCCGGCACGGACGTGAGCTCGCTGACGTCGTCCATGTGGTAATAGGACGGACAGCCACTTGGTCAGCCCCTGCGCGTCCTCGGCGGCCGCGCTCATCTCTGCCTGCGCGCCCGTGGTGGCCGAGGCGGGCCCCTGCGCCTGCGCGACGTCGTCCAACGCCGCGTCCGTGGGGACATACTTCGCGCAGGCCAGCATGAAGTCGGGCACGTCCGGCTGCGGGGGGAAACGGCCCACGAGGTCCGATCGGCACTGCACGCCCGGGTCATTGTACACGTAGTTGCGCTGCTTCAACAACCGCGCCTGGGCGTCGTACTCCGCCTTGTCGACGTGCAGCGCCACCTCCTCCCTCATGGCTCTCACGGCCCTCTCCTGATTCTGCTCCTCGGTCAGGGGGATGCCCTATTCGTCGTCGTCGGCGCCCGCGAACACGGCCACGAACGCGTCCCTGAGCATGTCGGGCTCCAGCGGGAAGCTCCGCGTCGCGTGGTCCACGTTCCCGTTCCCGAACACGATGGCGGTGCCCTGCATGGCGTACTGCAAGAACTTCTGCCTCCAGGACTGCTGCTCCTGCCGGACGGCCTTCTCGGCGCCCTTGCTGGACAGGTAGATCTTCGTGGACACGACGCGGCCGAGCGCGAGCAGCATCTGGCGCGCGAGAGCGGCCTTCCTGAGCAGCGGGCGGTGGCGGCCCAGCTAGAGGTCGTTAACCAGCGCCATCAGCGGCACCTTGGGGTGATCAGACCACAGGTCTCTCCGGCAATCGACTTTCACTGGCACCTTCCCTTCGAGCGCCTCAGGCGACACGCGCCTCTTGTGCAGGAGTATATTCGTGGACTTCGGCGAGCCCTCGCAGTCGTTGTGGGGGAAGTCCACGGCCGACGACATCAGCTCGTCGCGCGGTATGAGGGGCCATCGTTGGTGATACCACTCGGCCGACAGGCAGTCCGCGAACTGGGCCCGGTTCTTTATGGTGCACTTGTCGCCGACGAGGTACTCCGAGTGGAGATTCTCGGACCACTGCTGCATGGCGCAGCAGACGCAGGCCTGGAAAGCGCGGGGCCCCCTCGCCTGACACGCCGCCTGAGCGCGGGCTGCCGACTCCGCCGCGCCGGCCGCCTGCAGGGAGATCTCCTCCGCGGGCCCCCCCTGACCGATCTTGCCGATGATCCTGCCGACGATCTCCGCGTGGAGGAGCTGCTTCTGCACCTCCAGTTCGGGCTTCGGGACGAACGGCTCGTCCACGGGGTCGACGGCGGCGCAGCACTGGGAAATGTGGAACCTGGCAACCACCTGCAGCGATGGCGGGGAGCACCGCCCGACCCCCAGCGCTCTCGATGCCCTTATCGCTGGCGCTGGGAGCGCCAGCGCTAAGGGCACGTCACCGGGGGCTGGGCGCAGTTCCCCGCCGCCGCTCACCTGGCGCTCCTCGGTCGGCGACGGCTGGTAGGGCTCCAGCTCGCACCGCGCCACATACTGCGACTGGTACCACCGCTGCCCCCCGTGGACTCTGCCCTGGCGCGCCTTGAACGCCTCCCTGTCGGGGAACTCGGCCTCGCACATGCGGCAGGCATAATGCAGCGCAGGCGCGGGGCACTGGAACCACTCAGAGCGATCCCGAAGGCGCGCAGGCATGGCCGAGTGCCGGGGCGGGCCGCGGTTGCAGGGTCTGCGCTGCCACGCATCGGCCAGGTGCGCCCTCAGCGGGTTGCCATCGCCCTGCGCGCCCGGCCCGTCGCCCACCGCCAAGCGGACCGCGGCCGCCACGGAGTGGGCGCTGTGGGCGGAGTTCAGACGCTCGTCCAGGAGCTCCGCGACATGGTGCATGAGCCACTCCCCGCTCTCCAGTCGGCGCTCGGCGTCGGAAATCTCGTTCTCCGTGACCCCGAGCGCCACCCGCAGCCTGCCAGCCAACTTGTCAGGCCGATCGGGGGCGCGCAAGAACGTCGCCCATCGGTTGGCGCAGTCGTCGCCCGCGTAGACGAAGAAGTCCGGGTAGTGCTTAAGGAGGTCGTCGGTGGCAGCCAGCGGCTCCAGCAGGTGCAAGAGCAAGAACAGGTCGCCGCACTCCCGGCGCGCGTCGCACGCCGCCTGCAAGCCCTTCGCCCCCCTGCTGCTGCGGAGGACCGGGGCGGCGGCGTTGCTGGGCGTCCTGCCGGGGCCCGTCGGCGTTGTCTCCCTTGCTCTTCGGCTTACGCCCCTGCCGGAGCACCTCCTCCGGCTTGCAACCGCGCTTCTGGTCCTGCCGACCGCCCCGGTTCTGCTGCCTCCCAGCGCGGCTCTGCTGCCTCTCCTGCTGCCTCCCAGCGCGGCTCTGCTGCCTCTCCTGCTGCCTCCCGTCGCGGCTCTGCTGCCTCCCGGCGCGGCTCTGCTGCCTCCCAGCCACGCTCTGCTTCCCTCGGAGGCGGAGCCGCTTCTTGGGAGGGGCGCCGCTCCTCGCTGACGCCGCGGGCCGCTTCCGCGCGCCCAGCCCGCCAACGTCGCCGGCCCCGCCACCCTCGTCCATGTCGGGCGCTCCGCCGAGGCCAGGGCTGTCCTTGCCGTCCGCGTCGCCGTCGCCGTCGCCGCCCGCGCCCTCCGCGCCGTCGACGACCGGCCCGGGCGGCCACGGGCATGCCTCGGCGCGGGCCGCCCTGGAGCCCACCTTCTCAAGGAAGATCATGCAAGGTATATTGTGCTCGGTGCCAGGCGCCCACTGGACCACGCGCGGCCGATCGCCCAGGTCGTCTGCAGTGTACCAGCTCCCGTCCTCCTCGAAGTGGGCCACGAAATGGCCGCGGGGGTCATTCAGGACGTGGGATGGGACGGCTTCCGATCCCTCGGGCTGGATGTACTGCACGTAGGCGCGCAGGCGGCATGCGACGTCTTCCTCCCCCGCCCTCAGAGCCACCTCCGGGAGCTCGCCCCAGTAGGGCGCGATGTCGCAGCCGCCGAGGTAGAGCGCCGTGCCGTCGCCGCGCGGCACGTGGACCGCCAGCAATTCAGGCTTCGATCGCAGTCGCCCGCCCATGGAGGCGCCGCGGCGGAGCAGCTCTCGCATATCCAATCTCTGCGCGCCCCCATCGAGGAAGAAGTCCTGCGGCGACAGGGCGTCGTCGCCGTCGTCTGCCCCGTCCACGAAGGCTGGGGGCCTCATCGTGACCTCCTCGTCGTATCCGGTCTGGAAGAGGCTGGCGAGACCAGGCGCGTCTTCCAGGATGAACGACAGCGCCTCGCCCGCGTCCGCGTACCTCCCCAGCTTGAAGAGAAAGTGCTTCGCGAGGAACGCGTCCACGAAGGCGCGCGGGGACCAGCGGTCCACGCGGACTGGCGCTGGCGCGGCGCCGCCGACGTGCTCCGCGGGCGGCGGCACCCCGCGCGCGCAGGCGGTCGCCAGGGCGCGCAGCTCCTCGCGAAGGGGGCGTGAAACCCAAGCCGACTGCCCCCCGCCCCCCGCCCCCCCCAATCCACGCGCCAATCGTATTCCCTCCCCTGCGGAGGGAAGAAAGCCAAAGTCAACAAGGCGCCGTGCTGGAGCTAAGCTATCGACGAGATTTCCCCCACCCCGAGCAATGCACGACCAGCGGCTCGCCCTCGCCCTCCGCCCCCAGGAGCGCGGCGCGCGCGGCGGGGCAGTGGGGGAGGCACTGCAGGGGCGCGTTCAGGTAGCAGGTGTTGTATAGGTTCGAGAGGCCCGGGTATGGGCGCTGGCCGCCGCGAGGCCGATGCAGGGCAGGCTGCCTCCAACGGTCCTCGTCGTGGACGTCGTTCCCCTTTCACCACTCCTCATGCTGCATCAGCAGCGCCTGCTCTGCGCGCGCAGCGCGACGGTCATCCTGCTGCGCTGCCTCCGACTGCGCCACCAGCGCCTCGATGCGCATATTCAAGCCCCGAGCGGCGGGCGTCAACCGAGTGGACCGCCTCACCCTGCCCCACCGTCGCGCAAGGTCATTCTCTTCTGGCCCAACTCTCGTGCGAAGCGGCATGCGGCCGTGCTGCTGGTGAAAGGCCAACACGTCGTGGAAGGCACTGGCAGCTCGATCCTGGCGGCCCCCCGCTGTCCGGGGAGTTGGCCGTCGGCTGCGCGCTGACCCGGGGGCCCCATCGGCCGCGCGCGCCCGAGGAGGGGGCACCCGGCGTCTGAAGGGGCGCCTTCGAGGGGGCCCCTGGCGTCTCGGGCAAGTGCGGCGACGCCGCGCGCTCCCCCGTCATCCTTCGCCGAGGTTGGCCCTCCCGCTGGCGCTGCGGTGTCTGTGGGCCGCCCTCCAGGACCTGCGCGGCCTCCTGTCAGGCGATGGAGCTCCGCGTGCCGATCTGGGGCGCGCTCGATCCGCCTCCGGTCCGCCGCGGCCGCGTGCTCGGTGTCCCGCAGGGGCCTATGCAAATATGATCCTTTGCTCGATATCAAGCGGACTTGGAACTTCGGGCCGGCGGCGCGTGTCTTCTGGACTACTCCGACCCTGCATTGGGCCCCGCTCCCCTTCGGGGGCATCTGCGCGGCGCCCCCGCAGCGCGCCGCCGGGGCCCCGCTGCCAGGAATCCCCCCGACTCGCGCCCGTCGTCCTGGGCGGGGTATCCGGGCGACAAGCGGGGGTTGTCCGCGGCGGGTTGCGCCCGGCGCGCGCCCGCGGGCCAACGGCGCCAGCTCGAGCCGCAATGGCATTGCGCGCGGGCAGGACGGGGGAGAACGAACGCAGCTCGAAGGGCGCAGTGGCGGAGTGGCGGACGGAGGCCCAAGTACCCCATTATGGGTTCCAATGTACCCCAAGATGGCCCACGGGAGCAAGACACCGCTTCGGTTGGCCCCAGGTGTCCGACGGCCTCAAGGACGCCCAAGATGCCTTAACCAGCAATCCGATGCACCCCAAGATGGCCCCGGCGAGCAAGATGCAGCTGGTCCCGCATAAGCCCCATGAAACCTGCGCGACCGAATTTGCGTTTCGGAGCTCAGGGCTATAGACAATGGGTCTGGCCCCAGGTGTCGGGCGGCCTCAAGGACGCCCAAGACGCTCAAAAAAGGACTCCTGTGTAACCCAAGATGGCCCCGGCGAGCAAGATGCCGCTGGTCCCGCATAAGCCCCATGAAACCTGCATGACCGAATTTGCGTTTCGGAGCTCAGGGCTATAAACAACGAGTCTGGCCCCAGGTGTCGGGCGGCCTCAAGGCCGCCCAAGACGCCCAAAAAAGGACTCCAATGTAACCCAAGATGGCCCCGGCGAGCAAGATGCCGCTGGTCCCGCATAAGCCCCATGAAACCTGCGTCACCGAATTTGCGCTTCGGAGTCCGGAGCTCAAGGCTATAAACAATAAGTCTGACACCAGGTGTCGGGCGGCCTCAAGGACACCCAAGAAACTCAAAAAAGAACTCCAATGTAACCCAAATGATTGCCCCTGCGAGCCCGGCGAGCAAGTTGCCGCTGGTCCCGCAAGCCCCATGAAACCTGCGTGACCGAATTTTGCGTTTCGGAGCTCAGGGCTATAAACAACGAGTCTGGCTCCAGGTGTCGGGCGCCTCAAAGACGCCCAAGACGCCCAAAAAAGGACTCCAATGTAACCCAAGATGGCCCCGGCGAGCAAGATGCCGCTGGTCCCGCATAAGCCCCATGAAACCTGCGTCACCGAATTTGCGCTTCGGAGTCCGGAGCTCAAGGCTATAAACAATAAGTCTGACACCAGTGTCGGGCGCTCAAGGACACCCAAGAAACTCAAAAAAGAACTCCAATGTAACCCAAGGATGGCCCCGCGAGCAAGATGCACTGGTCCGCATAGCCCCATGAAACCTGCGCGACCGAATTTGCGTTTCGGAGCTCAGGGCTATAACCGAGTCTGGCCCCAGGTGTCGGGCGGCCTCAAGGCCGCCCAAGACGCCCAAAAAAGGACTCCAATGTAACCCAAGATGGCCCCGGCGAGCAAGATGCCGCTGGTCCCGCATAAGCCCCATGAAACCTGCGTGACCGAATTTGCGTTTCGGAGCTCAGGGCTTTAAACAATGGGTCTGGCTCCAGGTGTCGGGCCGCCTCAAAGACGCCCAAGACGCCCCAAACAAAACTCCAATGTATCCCAAGATGGCCCCGGCGAGCAAGATGCCGCTGGTCCCGCATAAGCCCCATGAAACCTGCGTCACCGAATTTACGTTTCGGAGCTCAGGGCTAAAAACAATGGGTCTGGCTCCAGGTGTCGGGCGGCCTCAAGGACGCCCAAGACGCCCCAAAAAGGACTCCAATGCAACCCAAGATGGCCCCGGCGAGCAAGATGCCGCTGGTCCCGCATAAGCCCAATGAAACCTGCGTGACCGTTTCGGAGCTCAGGGCTATAAACAATGGGTCTGGCCCCAGGTGTCGGGCGGCCTCAAGGACGCCCAAGACGCCCAAAAAAGGACTCCCATGTAACCCAAGATGGCCCAAGATGGCCTCAGGACCGCCCAAGAGGCCTGCAAGACGGCCCAAGAGACCTCCAAGGGAGCCTCCAGCAATGCCCAAAGAAGCCCAAATCATAGATTCTCATAAACTGTTGAACCATTTACACATTCTCGCCTTTGATTTCGCTGTCCGTGGGCGCCTTGTGTTTTGTGCCGCTGCTATAAAAAACGGCATATATGGTGCTACTTCGGCGTGCGTCTTTGGGCTGCGCCCGAAGCATGTTTCCGAAACACTGCAACTTGTGATTTTCATGCCGACGTCTCGGCGTTTTCCTTGATCTGGCGCGCCTAACGCCAAAGGCCATACCTCCTGTTTTTCGGGCCGGGCTAAAACACGGGAAGTAACACCAGCTGCGGCCGGCGCGAAAGACCCAAGAAAACGCAGAGACGTTTGCATGAACATTCGAACGCTTCGCTTTCGGAAAAATGAGCCTTGGGACCAGCCCGAAAGCCCTCCGCCCTCCTGCCCAACGAGCCCAAGAAAACCATTTCAAAATGTTGCGATGGTCCTCTCCCTCTACGCAATCGAAAAAAACCCTTACGAACTTCCATCAACTCCCGTACAATATTCCCACCGGCCAACGTGCGACCGTCCCAAAACGCGGGCGCAAAGCGGGCGCTCCAACGAGGGCAAAACACCATGTCAAAAATTTCGCGATGGTCCTGTCCTTCTACGCCACCGACCTACGTGCGACCGTCCGAAAGCGTCTGCGCAAGGCAAACGTCCCAACGAGCCCCAGAAAACCATTTCAAAATTTTGCGATGGCCTTGTCCTTCTACGCACCCGAAAAACTCACCATGAACTTCCATCCGCTCCAGCGGGCCCAAGCCAGCCCCAAGATGGCCCAAGATGGTCTCAGGACCGCCCAAGAGGCCTCCTTGGTCCTCCTTCCTCCTCCTCCTGCTCCTCCTCCTCCTCCTCCTCCTCCTCCTCCTTCCTCCTCCTCCTGCTCCTCCTCCTCCTCCTCCTCCTCCTCCTCCTCCTCCTCCTCCTCCTCCTCCCTCCTCCTCCTCAGGACCGCCCAAGAGGCCTCCTTGGTCCTCCTTCCTCCTCCTCCTGCTCCTCCTCCTCCTCCTCCTCCTCCTCCTCCTTCCTCCTCCTCCTGCTCCTCCTCCTCCTCCTCCTCCTCCTCCTCCTCCTCCTCCTCCTCCTCCTCCTCCTCCTCCTCCTCCTCCTCTTCCCTTCTCCTCCTCCACCTTCCTCCTCCTCCTCCTCCTCCTCCTCCTCCTTCCTCCTCCTCCTCCTCCCCTCCCTATGGGACCACGAAACTGTGAGGGGTGTGCCAAAATGGGGCGGCGGCGCCATGCGATTGCGCCACTTGGACCAGAGATGGAGCTCCCTGTGGGCCAACGAACGTCTGAGGGGTGTGCCAAAATGGGGCGGCGGCGACATGCGCACAGCGCCACGGGGACCTAGTGGAGCTTCCCTAAGGGCCACGAAACGTGTGAGGGGTGTGCCGAAATGGGGCCGGCGCCCCCTATGGGGCCACGAAGCGTGCGAGGGGTGTGCCAGAATGGGGTGTGGAACCGCATGCCAGCGCAGCCACTGGGGCCTTCGGTGGAGCTCCCTATGGAGCCACGAAGCGTGTGAGGGGTGTGCCGAAATGAGGGGTGGAACCGCATGCGAGCGCAGCCACTGGGGCCTTCGGTGGAGCTCCCTATGGGGCCACGAAACGTGTGAGGGGTGTGCCAGAATGGGGGGTGGAACCGCCTGCGAGCGCAGCCACTGGGGCCTTCGGTGGAGCTCCCTATGGGGCCACGAAACGTGTGAGGGGTGTGCCAGAATGGGGGGTGGAACCGCATGCGGGCGCAGCCACTGGGGCCTTCGGTGGAGCTCCCTATGGGGCCACGAAACGTGTGAAGGGTGTGCCGAAATGGGGGGTGGAACCGCATGCGAGCGCAGCCACTGGGGCCTTCGGTGGAGCTCCCTATGGGGCCACGAAACGTGTGAGGGGTGTGCCGAATGGAGGGGTGGAACCGCATGCGAGCGCAGCCACTGGGGCCTTCGGTGGAGCTCCCTATGGGGCCACGAAACGTGTGAGGGGTGTGCCAGAATGGGGGGTGGAACCGCATGCGAGCGCAGCCACTGGGGCCTTCGGTGGAGCTCCCTATGGGGCCACGAAGCGTGTGAGGGGTGTGCGAGAATGGGGGGTGGAACCGCATGCGAGCGCAGCCAACGAAGCGTGTGAGGGGTGTGCCGAAATGTGGGGTGGAACCGCATGCGAGCGCAGCCACTGGGGCGTTCGGTGGAGCTCCCTGTGGGGCCACGAAACGTGTGAGGGGTGTGC